AAGAATGGATAAAGAACAGATTGAATCAGCTTAGCCTGATGGATGAGAATAGGCTAGCGTCTATCGCATACAGTCGGTTATATCAGAGCCGGATGAAGAAAGCTTTCGACAAGAAGGTGCACCCTCGAAGCTTTTAGACGGGTGATCATGTGCTGAAAAAGATTCTCCCACCACAATCAGATCACAGGGGCAAATGGACTCCCAACTATGAAGGTCCATATGTCATTCGAAAGGTCTTCTCCGGAGGAGCCTTGTTGTTATCCACCATGGATGGCGAGGATTTTACATCCCATGTGAACGCAAACGCAGTTAAAAAATACTTTGCTTAAAAGAGACTTGCTGGAAAGAAAAAGAATATCCAGGAAAATATGGGGCATCCCGGCGAACCATAAAAAAGAGAATGGGTTTGGGAAAAAATTAGGGATAAAAATGAAAAGATTGAAACCCGCAAAGTCAAAAACCTGGAAAGGCGACTTTGGCAAAAATGGGTATCCCGGTGAATCGAAAACCCGAAAGGGCGGTTCAGGCAAAAGTTAGGGATTGAAAAGCAAATGACTGCGGTCTGCGTTGGAACCTCATTGCTTAGTGGATTGGGAGGACCTGAGGGCCGTTTATCCGAATCAATCTCTTTTGAAGATGAAGCATCGGGAAAGCATCAAAGTCAGGCGAGTCATAGAGGGATCAGATCATGGTGTTTGTCTGTGCCACATTGCCGACATTTCTGTATACTTTTGTATATTTCTGTGCATATCTGTATTGTTCTTGTGCAGCTTCCTCTTTTCAGGGGTTGCATCTGTTGTAAAACTTTGCCTATTTACAGGCCATTTATCAATAAACATATACTATTCAGTATCTCGTTTGTTTTGTTTTAACTTTTACTGTTTTGTTTGTGAAAAACACCCAATGTTTTGGTAAACTTGCACATACATAAACTTGCAGGCCTTGGCCAATAATTGTTAAAACTTTGAATTAATTGAACAACGTCACGAATGATGGCTGAGATAGTTCTGTTTGCGTAGTATCTTGTATGTTTGTTCAGTTTTGCAGGGTCGTTACCCTTGGGGCAGAGATGAGTGGGTGAAATTCGTCTTATCTCCAGGCGGAGTCTGTTTCCCCGGCAAGCGGAGTTGGCATCTCTATCCCCAGTAGAGTTTGTATGCAGTTTGAGTGAGCAGATAGCGTGTACGTTTTCCCTCGGCAGTTGGTGCACATTTAATCCCCACGAAATGCGTGTTCGTACTCCCCAGTGAATCATGAGTGGATTTTCTTCCCACTAAGTAATCTATAGCCTAGGTAGATTCACTTCCAGTTGAGTAATCCCCAACAGGATGGAGGAATGTTGTTACCCTGACATTTTCTTTACAGGAGGTCAGCGAGGGCCTGTTTCCTCGGCATAAGTCCAATTGTCATTAGCATGAGTAAGTTGTTTCACCAGCAGGGTGGTTTCTATATCTCTAGCATTTATTTTGTTGATTCGGTTTCGTTGCATCTGCATGCGTGCATAGCATCTACCCAAATGCGTAGCATTTCCATTTCGTGTGGAGCATTACGCCATTTTCAAACATATACATGTGAAACATAAGCCAGGTTGTTATCTCTTTGTTTCAGGTGTACCTCGCATTTGGTTGATACCTTTGCCCGTGTGGTATCTGTCGCTACCGCGAAAATAAGGTGCCAGCAAAACAGAAGAGTCGCCACCTTTCATTATTTATCCCTCGGAACGGGAAAGGAAACGATCGGAAAAACCTGACGAAAAGGTATACGACAAGGTCATCGCAACCAAGGTCTGGATTCGGGAGTCGGTTACGCAAGGGGAAGGTATTAGCACCCCTCACGTCCATCGTACTCGATGGGATCCATGCTTGTTGTGTTTATCTGATGGGTTGATTTTATCTATCTACCTATCAAGGCTGGTCTGAAAAGAAAATAAAATGACTCGGCAAAGCGTCGCAGTTTATGCCTACGTATTCTCATCAGAGAATGAGAAATCAGAGTCAACGTAGTTCGACTAACTACGGGTTACGGGGAAAGTGGCTCGCCAATACGTTAGTATTGTGCCTACGTAATCTCAACAGGCTTGAGAGATCAGAGCTTACGTAGTTCGGGATAATACGGATTACGGGGGTTCAGATTCATCTGTTTTTGAGTAGGGTTAACAAACAGTTCCAGCAGTTTGGCCTACACAGCTCAACCCTTAGAGACTTAGGCATTACCGTTTGCGGTAGAACTGAAAGTTAACGACACTCTTTTCTTCAGAAAAGCTTCCTTTGAATTATGGGCCCACGGGGCAAAAAGGTTTGAAGTTTGTTTTCTGTCTTTTACGGAAGAACTGTTTTTTATGGTTATTTGTAGTTTGTACAGCTCTAGAGACTATGACTTAGGAGCGAATGCGTCGCATATCGTCCAAAGGACGTATACTAAACATTCTAGATGATTGAGAGGAGGCCGCTCAATCATCATTTCCCAAGTACCTTAAGGCTCGTAACGCGCTTATACTAACTTGCCTTTATTACATTTTTTACTGTTGTTTTGAGATGAGAAAAGAACGAACTCTATGGGGAGACTGTCAAGCCCTAATGTTGTCATGCCAAGGATTCATCCTATGGTTGTGGTTTGAAACAGGGAACTCCTAGAAGTTATCATGCATAGGTTTTAACCTAAAGTTCTATCATCACTTCCTTATCAAGGGAAGCGAGACTCCTAGGGGATCATGCCAATGGTATACAGAAACAGATAAAGCATCAGCTTAAACAGTAAACAGATATACAGATAAACAGTAAAGATGCACATGCAATGCAACAATACAAGCAGAGGGAGACCCACTCGACCTCTTAGCAATCAAGCAAAGCCAATCAATAACAGGAAAGCAGAGATAGACAGACTCAACCTCTATTACTACTACACAGATGAAAGGAAAAACAACACACAAGCAAGGGGAGGATCACCTCAACCCTTAATGCAAACAAGCAGAGGGAGACCCACTCAACCTCTAAGCCTTCATGCTTCTAGCTTAAAAATAATCTACACATGGACCTATTCTAATGCATCAAACAATTCAAACAAGGGAGAGAAACCACAATGAGCAACAAGGAAGTCGTCCCAGGCTACATCAGGTTGGAGGTATATCAATACCAGAGTTCATCATGGGCTCAACCTCTTGAGGAATGCACAGAATCCAACCAAAGGAAGGATTAGGCTCTCCCAAGAGGGATCCTATGTCAATAGGACAGAAAAGACTGGGTATTAGTCCTAGATATCAATCTAAGGGTAACTGATTGTAGTGTATCAACACAAAGTGTCCATCTCAGGCTCAACCTGTTGAGGAATGCACAGAATCCAACCAAGGGAAGGATTAGGCTATCCCAAGAGGGATCCTAAGAAAAGGACTTTGAGATGGATGACAGCGTATAAACCAACGGAATATACCATGCCAAGAATATCAATCCAAGGCTCAACCTCCTGAGTAATGCACAGAATCCAACCAAAGGAAGGATTAGGCTCTCCCAGGAGGGATCCTCTTCAAGACTTGAAGGATAAAGATAGTACAAACCAAAGGAATGTATATACCGGGGAATGTCAATTCAAGGCTCAACCTCCTGAGGAATGCATAGAATCCAACCAAAGGAAGCATTAGGCTCTCCCAGGAGGGATCCTTTTCAAGACTTGAATAAAGAATGTGGGGGCAACGCCCAAGGAGGAAATCATATAGGGGACAGAAGGCAACACAGCACCCCAGAGAACCCTACAAGCTAACTACAAGGTTCACCTAAGCTAGGGGCATCAAAAGCTCTATCAAGGCTATGGCAAAGTTTTAATGAGATCTCTACCTACTTACCAATCTATCAAGAAAGGAATACACTACTTAGAATTATCTAATGATTGTTTACATGGTTAAACTATGAACTTTCTAAGTTAGGATCACCTAAACTGAAGTTAATTTGTAAACTAGGGAACTAATTGAAAATCATTCCTAAAAATTCTAGGGAAAATACTACACTATCCTATATGTATCAACATTCCATGGTCCAAAAATCAGGGGTTAAACCTAAGTCAAAAGGCTCAAATTAAACCTAAACTTCAAGGGTATACTAAAGGGATCCAACAAAGAACACTCTTAAACAACTACCCTAAAACCTTATTTAAAATCATCTAAAAAATCATAACAAAAATTACACAACATTATCAACATGTATAAAGCAACAATCAAAAGGAATGAAAAGTTTATCTCATGCTAAAAATCATCAATGAAATCAATCAAAATAAAAGGCTATGTTATGAACATGTTAAGACTAACCTAAGTATTAATTCAATCTAACATACCAAAACTAATTCTAAAATCCTAGGAAAATTTCTAGGGGAACCTAAGCATTTTAGGTATCTATAGTAGAAAAACCAGAGCCTAAAACTATGCTTAAAGGCACTAAATAAATCACACACCAAAAGTGGTCAAAAGGGAAATCAAGTGGGGAAGCCTCTAAAGATCTAGTTCAAAACAGAACCTATAGCCACTAGTGGAAAAAAGGCTTTTTAAGTCGGTTAAAATTGACTTTTTAAGTCGAGTCCGAGCCCGACCTAAGAATTACCGACATAAGAAATTTTGACTTCTTAAGTCGGTTGTGGACCTGACTTAACAAACTGTTATTAGGTCGGTTAGGCAGAACCCGACTTAATAAGTCTAGCCTGCAGAAACCATTTATACCCGACCTAAGAACTTACTTTCTTAAATCGGGTATAACTAACCGACCTAAGAATTTTTTTTTTGGATAATCACAAATCAGATGCAATTTTCCCATTTTATAATTTACCCCCAAATCAGACTATCCAACTCAATCAAACAAATTACACCAAAAAAAATCACACAACACAGATCACAGTAAAACCCCTAATTATCAAATAAAATATACCAGCAACTTATAAACACAATTAAAATCCACAATTCCATATCTTGTATTACAAATATGCTCTAAAGAGTTTTGAACATGTTCAGGGACTAATTATACTTACAACACAAGCAAGTGTGTCTTCACTTCAGCCACCAACATGTGACCCAACAACAGAATGCGAAGAAGTGAATGGTGCAAAAGCATTGATCCTATTTGCTGGACTATATCTTTCTTTCTATTCCTGTTTTCTTGGCTGGTTCTACTAGATACAAGAACAAGATCCCTACTGGAAGCCCTCTTACAACCATTTATATTCCTCTTACATACATTAATATTTTCTTGCAGCTCAGCATTGACCTCTGGAACTGCGATTCCCCTCCCACATCGATCACGCGGACGCGACTTCTTACTGCCAGCAGCATTACCTTTGCCAATGGCCCTTAATTTGAAGTTATAAAACATTGAAATTAAAATGATGAAAGCGATTGTTAGAGAAATTTTGGCTAGACTCTGAATGCATATTAAGCGGTTCGTTCACCTTCTAGCTTCTTTATCCCTTAGCTTTGTGTCCATCTCCTTACTGGGAGGATATTTCGAAACGTTAGAGGGTTCACAAGCATAAGGTTGTGTTGTAAAGAACTGCAAAAACGGAAAAAAGTAACAGTAAACTAAGATCCTTATGTGATTTCGCAAGATAAATTTAGCAACTAGATTATTGTCTTACTTCGTTGTGCAATGCAGCAGTGGCAGTTTGGCGTTCTGCTGGATCGATTGCTAGAAGGGTTTCAATTAATAGCAATGATGATATCGGGAATTCTTCGAACTTCTCTACGATGCACCACTTATATGATTGCCGAGGCTTAAATATGGTAGCATGTGGTAGCTTTGCCCTTCTCCAATATTCTTCAGAAGGAGAACCACATAGCTTAAATATCTTATGCAGCTGTTCCACCTATGAAGCATGAAAGCATATTATATCAGAAACTATAGTATGAAATTGCTTGCTTTCTGTATCACCTGATCTCGATCCAATGGTCACTAATGTGCTAACTATTGCGACTGCAGCAAATTCAAATTAGTGTTAGAGATTACCTCGGTTCGACCAGGCATAATAGGAAAGCCAACAATTCAGCAAGGATACAACCAGCACTCCACAGGTCCACGCCTACATCATAATCGGTGGCTCCTAGAAGATTTCCCAAAAATTTCTATGATTAATTCTTCAATGATTAAAATTTCAGGTAAACAAAAAAGAGCTGAAGAAGCTGGTGACTTCGGAATGAGAATTATTTACCGGCCAAAGTCAATTTTCATGAGTGAAAAAGAATACGTAGATAATCAATAATACAAATTATTTAATGGTCACATGTCAGAATTACTGTATTATTGAAACTAACTGCAATAATATTTCAGCACTGATATCGATAAACTGTAATAATCTTGAATGTTCCATTTCAAATCCAGTTTTGAAATGTTATGGCTAATATCATTATGGTCAGCATATAAAGTTTCTTTGTGCAGTTCAACATTTCACCTGAACCTATCATACACAAAACTTATCTGATTCAATAATAAGCACATAGATTCAACGACATTTGCATAATTTAAATTCGAGATTCAAACACTTACCAATAATTCCTGAGGAGCTAGGTCCAGAATCCGGAGTTGCAGGCGGTGATTCAGCTTTTTCTGGCGTATTGAACCCGAGATCTACACCGTTACAATCACCTCCTAAGCCACCTACTCAGTTACTACCAGCAGCTACACTTAGTCATCTTGTTGCTAATCTCACAGCATATACATCTCTCAGTTTTGTATCTCTAATTAGTTTTATGCTAGGAACTGCAAAAAAAGAAAATAAGAACCATAAGTTAAGTAAATTATCTATGTAGCACCAGAGTGTCTAGTGTCCGACACAGACACATGTTGCTACATTCTATCACTTCCATTTTTTATCATGGTCTACATGTCAGTGTCGTGTTTGCGTGTTAGCGTCAGTGTGTAATAGATAATGATTCACAGAAACACACCAAGAATTTGAAGTGCATTCCATATTGTATTTCCAGATTCAACTTCCACAGGAACACCTGATATAGTATAAGAAATGCTAATTTTCAATCAAGCATTATAACATAATAATTATGCTTAAAGAAAGTACTTACAGTGGTAAATGCAACTTTTCCAAAACCCAAGCTTGTGTCCACTTTGAAAGTGTGATGGCAATTTTGACAGAACATTAAGTATAATGCTTCCATTTGAATCAGAAATAGTGGCCAAGTTAGGATAGTGCTGCAGATGATACATGGTGATATCTACACATGAAAGATTCAAAGAGGATATAAACATGAGTAACATAGTGTTTTATATGCTTTGTTATTAAAGCATAATAACTACCGTGAAATCCGGCGGCAGTAAGCAAAGCAACAAGATGACTAGAAGAGGGACCCGAGAACGGACAACCTTGCCTTTCGTCCGTAGTATTCAAAACAAGATACCAAACCATCTCTTTACAATTGGTAGACATGATACTATAGATCAGTGGTGTGAATCCTTTATAATCAGTCACTTGTGTAACAAAAGGATTCTTAGCCACCAATGCCTTGGCAGCATTTACGCTTTCGCCCATTGCGACATAGTGAAGGCAAGTACAACCCATTAAATCCAGTTCTGCAGCCGTACTTGCAGGAATATGTTGTACTAATTTCTCAACAAGTTTCCACTGAGCTCCCACAACTGCAACATGAAGTGCATTCCTGCCAAGTATGGTCACTTTCGCTGTCAACACGGTTGGATCGTTATCAATAAAAGCCTTCGTAGATTCCCAATCTCCGTTTAGTATCGCTAAGTGCAGCTGCTGGTAGTAACTGTGGTTAAATACTCTAGCTTTTGCTTACCACCATTAAAAACAAATGAGTATTTCTTTACAAATTTCTCAGTGAGTGTGTCTGAAACAAGAACAATAGTATCACCAAAATAAACTAAATCTCTTCTTAAATATAATAATAAATCTAAAATTCAAATCAAGTCCATCTTCAATTTCACAACAACATTTCATCAATACTCCATCAAACATTCAAAGAAACTGAACCACCATACATGCATAATCATGAAAACATACCTAATTTGCAGAGTTCAAAGTGAAACGTTGTAGCGGTGATTGGAGAGAAAACGAAAGTTGTGGTGAAAGATTGAGAGAATTATTAAACCTAAATCTGAAATTATAGTATATAAGAAGTTAGCAAAATAGAAGAATATAGCAGTAGATAACACTAACAGTGGAGTCGCTGTTGTATACAAACGACTTCATCTTCGAAACGAAATCCTCAGAGTCTGGAAACAGAAAGGGGTGCCATGTTCAACCACAACTGCAACGTCTCTCATAAAAAGCAACCTATTGAAACCAATTTCAATTCAATGAGAAAAAGAACAAAATCAGTTAGCAGAGGAATGAAATTGGAAGCACAAACCTGAAAAGGTTGGGTCAATCTCGAGCGAAAGCCAAGCAGGAACTGACCTCGACCTGCGACAATTCGGCAGGGGGAAGAAATGAATCGGCGGGAGGAATAGTGGATGTGTAGTCGGCGGAGGAGATGTGTGCGAGAAACCCATATCAATACATTTTCCATTGACTATTAATTTAGGGTTTATGATTATAGTTGTGGTGAGGTTATCTGTTGGATTTCTCATATAACATAAATTATACTATAATTGTTTTATTTTACTAAAATGTATTAAGTAGGAATCGAACCGGAGTCTTGTAAGACCCTCTTAGGTCAGGTAATAAACACCTGACTTAATAAATAAATTTCTTAAGTCAGCTCAGTAAAAGAACCGACTTAAGAAATTTAATGAAAATTATATATTTTTTTTATTTAATCTTTGTAGGTCGGTGTCGCTTTTGCGAAAATAAGGTGCCGGCAAAACAGAAGAGTCGCCACCTTTCGTTATTTATCCCTCAGAACGGGAAAGGAAACGATCAGAAAAACCTGACGAAAAAAGGGTAAGACAAGGTCATCGCAACCGTTGTCTGGGTTCGGGAGTCGGTTACGCAAGGGGAAGGTATTAGCACCCCTCACGTCCGTCGTACTCGACGGGATCCACGCTTGTTGTGTTTACTGGACGAGTTGGTTTATCTATCTACCTATCAAGGTTGTCTTAAACAGAAAAGAAAATGACTCGGCAAAGCGTCGCGCTTTATGCCTACGTATTCTCATCAGAGAATGAGGAATCAAAGTCAACGTAGTTCGACCTACTACGGGGTACGGGGAAGGTGGCTTGCCAATACATCAGTATTGTGCCTACGTACTCTCAACATGTATGAGAGATCAGAGCTTACGTAGTTCGGGATACTACGGATTACGGGAATTCAGATTCATCTGTTTTATCGAGTAGGGTTAAACAGCAGTTCCAGTAGTTAGGGGCAAAGCCTGTTTGTGTTGGCCCTGAAGTTTAACGACACTCTTTTCTTCAAAAAAGCTTCCTTTGAATTATGGGCCCACGGGGCAAAAAGGTTTGAAGTTTGTTTTCTGTCTTTTACGAAAGAAGTGTTTTTTATTGTGTTTGCAATTTCAATCACACTAAAGACTATGATCTGAGAGTGAATGCATCGCATGTCACCCAAAGGGTGCCATACTAATCATCCAGACTGTTGGAAAGAAGCTCTCCAACAATCCTTTCTCAGATAGCTTAAGGCTCGTAACGTACGAAAGAAATCATTCATGATTACTGTATTTTAAGTTGTTTTGAGATGAGAAGAGAGCAGGCTCAACTACGGGGAGACTATCAAGTCCTAATGTTGTCATGCCAAGGATTCATCCTATGGTTGAAGTTTGAAACGGGGAACTCCTAGAAGTTATCATGCATAGGTTTCAACCTAAAGTTCTATCATCACTTCCTCATCAAAGGAAATGAGAGTCCTAAGGGATCATATCAATGATAAACAGAAACAGATAAAGCATCAGCTTAAACAGTAAACGGTAAACGACTGTAAAATGCATGCAATGCAAGTGAGGGAGGAAATGTGTGTGGGGCAGCAGCCTCCACAAGCTCATCTCAACCTCAAGCCAGAATGAATAACAGTAATCATACAGCAACAATAAAAACATGCTATCAAGCAGAATACAATAAACTACAATCATACAGTAAAAATAACATGCTATCAAGCAAACACAAACCACATGGGCAAGGGAGCTGGGCTCTATCGAATACCCGCAAACAAAGTCATACAGTAACAGTACAAGCAGAGGGAGCAACTCAACCTCTAGTGCAATCATGCCCCTAGATTAAAGTCAGTCTAGATATGAACTTATTCTAATGCATCAAGCAAGTCAAACAAGGCACATCAGCACAGAAAAGAAAAATAGACAAGAAAGCAGATCAACAACTCCCTCTCAATTCCAAGCTTCAGCTCCTCTAACAGTAACTCAGTCTTCAGACTTCAATCACCCTTCAAGGCTATCAACTTCACTGGCAAGTATCAACTTGCTTTTCCAGGTTTCAACCCATCAACATAAGATTCAACTTATCTTCATTTCTCCAAGCTTCAGCTCTTCAGCCCATTCCACCTTCAGGCTTCCAATGCATCAGTGTAAGTGTCAACTCATCTTTTATTCTTTAAGCCTCAGCTCCACACTCAATCTCAATTGAATCCTCTTCACAAGTATCAACTTAGTCCTCACTCTTTATCTATAAGCTTAAGCTTCTCAGAGTAATCTTCTATCACATGGAAGTGTCAACTTCATCCTTCAATCCTTTTCAAGCCTCAGCTCTTCATTCAATCTTCATTGAATCTTCAAGTATCAACTTATTCTTCTTGCTCTTCAAGCTTCAGCTGCAATGGCAATGCTCAAGGAATCATCCTCTTCCACACTCTTCATTGAAGTCCTCATCTTCAAAATCAAGTCCAACATCTTTCAAGATACTCAAACCAGAAGACAATTGATTTAACAAGATGAGGGGAAATGATAAACAACTTACTGACAACCAAAGGAAGCCTTTAAGGGTTCATCATTATGAGAGACTGGTTCCCTCAAAGTTCTACTTCCCAGATAAAGCCACTCATCCCTCCAAAGGAGGGATGTGAATATCTTGGAAGGACTTTTAGTCATTGG